AAAAAAAAAAAAAAAGGGAAAAAGTAAAGTAAAAAACATTTTTAGAATTAAACAATCAGCCCTTGCGTTGCCTGGAGGAGACTAGACTACTACTGTGCAGTAGAAGAAGGGACACTATACAATGACTTGAGCTGCCTGCTGATCAACTTACTATTACTATTCAGCGCCATCCGCATTTCCAAATCGTCCGACCACCACTGCTCCAACCCGTGCGCTTCCAGAAACTTCTGTTTCCCCCTCGACAGCACAAACATCTTAGCCCCACCACCACCACCACCCGGCCCACCCACCACCGGCCTCACATTCTCCTTCTCCTCCTCCTCCTCCTTCCCCATCTCCACCGGGTCACTATAATAGCAGCAGATATAATCACTATTGTTCACATACAAGTGCGGGACCCACTTTACTCTCCCCACACCATCACCACCACACATCTTAACAACCTCCTCCTCGTCATTTTCCCTCTCATCATTCCTTCTCGGGATCATCGACCGAACCTTCCTCCACACATTCCCAGCCTTCTCCCCCACTGCCCTCAGCCCCGAAGCTAGCGAAATCGACGGAGGATTAAACAAGTGCGTCTCCACGCACACACCCTCCTTCGCCAGGGCCTTCCCCACCTGAAGCGCGAAACCGGCACCCAAAGAGTGCCCGGCCACACACACATTGCTACTCCCAAACTTCTCGGATATTTGTCTGAGTGCTCTTAATGCGCATTCGAATCTCACGGAACCCTTGAGGCTCTCACAGGTCAGGAACCGGAGGTCGTCCTCTATGTCTCGTCTGATCGTGGGGCCCTTCAGGAGAGTGCCACGGAGGGCTAGGATGGCTCGTGGGGCCCCGGTTGGCCGAAGGAGCACGAAGTCGGCGAGGGCGGATGCGCGGTCCCACTCGAGTACGGCGCCGAACACAGAGCCGTCTCGGTCGTCGGTTAGGATCTCGACGAGCTTGTATTTGAAGGGGGTCCACCAGTTGGGGGCGAGGGCGTGCTCGTCGTTTGTTCGGTTTTCCTGACGGTCGAGCTCGAGGAGGTAGACGGCTTGGATGAAGCAGGCGATGACGGTCCTTTTGTAGTTTGGGTCCTTCCTGTTTGGATTTTTCATTTATTGGAAATGATGATTTGAGGGTTGAGAGAGATGGTAAGTCAAGAATTTGGATAGGTGTAATTTTTGTAAATGGAGTTGATTTGTGTAAGGAAAGCACAATAAATAGAAAATTAATTCCCAGAAAACAAATNCCATTTATCATTGATCTGGAACAACTGTAGAAAGATATCATCATGGCTTTCCACTTAATCCAATCCACTTAACTCAGAATGATCAAGAGAGGGGAGAAAAGTAACAAAAAATAAGAAAGAAAAAACATGAAATCATCCTCAGGCCAAAACCTAACGTCATTCTAGTAAGGAAACAAGAAACTCTGGACAAATTATTGAAGCAGGGGAAGTCAAGTATTTCCGAACAAAATGTTAATTGCACTTTGGGCTCCAAGCTATTCGTATACATTTTTTTTTTCCCTTTGCCAATCCAGTTCGGAAAACAATACATTTTGCTTTCCAGATTGTATCATTTTTGCACTTTATCCTCTCAAGTCTCAACTAACCGAAAATTGGAATAAAAGAGAAAGTAGCATAGAACAGAGAATTTGAAAGTTAGGTGAACAAGGAGCAAAGCTATCAAAATGCACTCTGCTACCTCCCAAACAACAAAAAACTCTGTTCACATTCTGCTCAACTGAAGAACAGAAAAGAAGCAAGCTAGAAACTAGTGATTCGAACAATCAACAAAAGCCCCCTTTATCCACCCACAATATTATCTCATTCTAGTTAGGAGACAAGAAATTCTTGACAACTAAATGAATAAGGTAAAATCAGGTAGTTTCAAAATAATAATAATAATAATAATAATAATAATAATAATAATAATAATTGAACTTTGCAGGCCTAACCAAAGCCCACTTTAGTTCCTCCTGCAAACTACAATCGTCCCAAAACTGAAGAACACATACAAAATCAAGCCAAGAAACAACTATATCCACACAATCAACAAAGGGGCACTAAAATGGCAACAAATCAACACAAACTCTCACATCTAAACCCAAAACTGAAAAAATAGTGAGGAAACAAAACGAGCACCAACCAGGTTGAGCTGATGAGGTCCCTCCAGTTAATGGAAGGAACATTGCGAGGCCCTGACACATGAAAGGCATAAGGATGCTGGGCCTGATGTGCCAGTAACTCAGTTTCAACGCTTCGATTTTCACAACCTCCACTCTCGTCCTGTCTTTCAATCACCTGCAAAACCTCGTTTCTAGTATCCTCTGCGTTTCCCTTCTCCATTTCCAACCTCAAAACATCAGAAAACACGGTCGCCGGATTCTCAGCTCTTCGATCGACCCGCACGTTGCAGAGTACGAAAAATGAGGATAAAATTAAAAAAGGAAGTAGAAAGAAACCAGAAGATTGAAAAAGGAAAGTGGAAGGGTTTCGTCAGGGGTTTCAACCTACCATTGTTGTTAATTGCGAGGAGATTTATTAAGGTGTTGGATTGTGAATTAATTGATGATAATTATTGCTAATTTTGAAAACGATTGAGCATCTTCTTTTTATTATTATTTGTTTAAGAAAAAATTGTTTTGCATGTAACGGTAATATTTTGATTGTGATTTGTGAATAGATTTTTGTACACTTTTTGTTTTTTGACAACTCAGGTGCTAACGTTATAGAATAGAATGGGCTTGGCTTGGACTCCGGCATGCACGAAGGAAAAAATCTAAGCGAATACAGTCATTGGAAGAATTTTTCTTCATGATTTTGACAATAGCGTGTTTAGAAATAGTGTGGGGTTGGACTTTGAGAGTCGAATTCAACATATTTGACCGAAAAATTCATTATACATATTAGAATAAATCTATTTTGATATATTTGTTGACATAAAAGAATAATGGGGTTGGACTTTGAGAGTTGGAATACAACGAATTGGACCGAAAAATTCATTATATATACTAGTATTAATGTACTCTTGCACCGGTCCTTTTATGGTTCTTCAACCAATTTGCTCTCTGGAGATCTACAAAGACGCCGTGAGGTGTTCACACGTTAAACTACCAACGATCAATCAGTAAAAGACTATGAAAAGTTGTATGGAATTGTATTGTAAAACTTAGAGTGTATAGAGTGATTAACCTCTTACCTTTCATACCTCTTACTTATTTATACTAAATGATTGGCTTCTTCAACAAGTTTGCCCTACTCGACTGCCCTAAGGCTTGCCCAAGTGCCCGGACTGCCCAAAGGCCTGTCTGGCAGTTATTTGGTTCCCCTAGATCTGCCCGAGGCCCATTCTCATCATAGGATTATTTAGATATTTTTCATATAGCCCTACACGTGTCTCTTATCCATAGGTCCTCTTATCCTTATTCCCTAGGTATTCCTACTCTCATGTCCGAGCTACGGTCATATCATATTATCCGAGCTACCGTCACAATATATTGTCCTATTTTCGTATTGTGTTGTTTGAGCTACGAGTCACTTACATTGTATGTTCTCAGAGCTATTTCTGTACTATGTTGTCTGAGCTATCGACACATTGTACCGTCCGAGCTATTTACAGAGTATGTTGTCTGAGCTATTCTTGTACTGTGTTGTCCGAGCTATCAATACGCTGTACCATATGAGCTATTTCCATTATGTTGTCCGAGCTATCGATACATTATATCATACGAGCTACTTACATAGTATGTTGTTCGAGCTATTGATCACCCGCTCATCTTAATTGGCTGAGACCCCCTAACCCAGGTGGTTTTGGGGATCATCACCTAAGCTACGCTATGTACTATATCATTTATCCGCCCGCCTCTCCTCCAATTATCAAACGAGTTGTTGTTTGATGAGCTCAATAGACTTGTTTGATAATAAACAAACAGTGTTTGTCATCTTAGAAAGGTCCTACCCGACCTGTATTCGCAGAGATATATCTCGTACGCCGTGCTTGACTTTTTGTCTATCCCATCTGTCAGTACCCTCGTATTCCGTACCCAAAGCTTGAATCTTGGCCCTTCTATTTTTAATGATCTAGTGGTAGAACAAGCGTACCTTCACCTATAAATCCATCCTCCCCCTTACATATAAGTTTTCTGCAACTTCCAATTTTCGACTGTCTTTACAAAAGCTTCGAAAGCTCTGCAAACTCTGGCGATCCGTCCACCCTCCTCGACGACTTTATCTTCTATCCCGACAACATTTTACGGCCCCTAAAAAATGAGTAAGTTCTTATACTATTTTGTTGTTTGTTTGCTTTTATTTATTTTATCATGTTATTCATCCTTGTCGACCCCGTTCTTCTTTATCTTCATATTTGATTTTTTTAGATTCACCATCTTATTCCTCTAGTAGTGTTGTTATCTCCTCGCATTTCGACTAGTTCCACTCTAGATCGAGATCCTCTCAGATCGACTACTCTCTAGCTATTATCCCTGCCCCCATTAGAGCATGGCCTATTAAGTCGACCTTACACCTCATAGATGAGCCCGCAAGAGATATACCCCGGGATACATTAGAGAGAACTGTAGATACCCATCCATTCAACCTACCTGATGGACCACCCGAAGTCGTACCTCTTTCCATCTTCGAGCTAAGAGCTCGCCAAGCTCTTGTAAAAGTAGACATCGACCATCCTGCTAACTTTAACATAGAATGTGCCTCTAGTGCTGTAGTTCTAACTTGAGTTAATCTTTTTTTCTTCGCACATGAACCTGAAATAATGGCCTTCATGTGGATGTCCGAGAAATCCCATACCTACAGTAGATGTTAGTAAATAAGAATGGAATGAACTTCTCCTTCGTGCTCTTAACCATTGCTTCGGCCTCTATCCACTTGTTGAAGTAATCCACAATCACAAGAAAAAATTTTCTATGACTCATGCCTTGTAGTAGAGGTCCTACAATGGTCATTCCCCATTGAGCAAACAGCAGCGGCGAGCTCATCGGAACAAGCTCCTCCGCAGGTCGATGGATGAGTTGTTCGTGTTGTTAGCAGTTGATACATTTTTGCACGAGCTCCTTCACCATAGCTCTCATTGTTGGCCTGAAATATGTAGCCTTAAAACTTTTCTTACCAACGTGTGAGGTCCCGAATACAACCTTTTATAAAGGATCCCATCTTGTATGAAAAATTCCATGGCTCTCCTACATAGTTTATCCATTTTGCAGGTCCTTCAACTTATTCTTAGCTTCCTCCAACCACCTGATCAAGGAGCTCCTTCAATCTTCTTTTTATTCTACCTCCATGCTTGGGTAAAAAATGCTCGACTCCATTTGCATAAGAGTAACTGAATGCGACATGCAGTCTAGCTGTGAAGCTGCAACCTTTGACAATAGTGTACATGGTAAAGACCGAATGGTTGAAAATTAAATTAGATATATTCTATTCGAGTTCCTAACCGGAGAAACCGCGAGAAGACCGAACATACGTAGGAACCGAGCGACGTGCAGGAGGCGTGTTCGAATGACGCCCATCATTACTAAGATATCGCCCGTACGATGTGCATTTAATGAGTATGGATTTGGCAATCCTTAATCTAAGGGCGCTCAGCAGACGGGGGCACGTGTCGCAACCCGAACGAGCTTGCTTTATGGAGATGGTGTTTTATAGTTCATTAGCATTAAATGTTGTGTGACTAAATATCTAGTTAATATCTTGTAAAAGTAAAAAAGGAAAAGAAAGCCTGAAACAGGCATGTAACAAGTCCTCACACTTCCTATATAAGGAGCAAGAGGCAACATTAAATGCAATGAGTAAATGCTCTCATTAAATATCAAATAAGTCACGGATAGAGCTTACATGCGTACTGTCTTTTGTACCGAATACCATACAAAATCTTTATTCGTGCAGACCGAACAGAGTATACATTCTAGTATACAGTCCGAACACATTGTTGGTCAATTTTAGACATCAACAAATAAGTCTGCTCTGCTGTTCCCCGTCTGCAGAATTTGGATGAGCTTCCATGACTCAAAACCTTTTGCTAAAGCTTTCACCTCAATTGTACATTTCAACATCATGTCCTATTCATCTTTATACTCACCTCTAATGTGCTCGACTGCCAACTAGTTGGGACGAGCAGCTCATTGTGCGGCCTAGCCGACTTGGAGGATCGAAGAATAAAAAGGTTGGGCACTTCCATTGGGAAGTCTTGATCGAGTAGGATGAATTGTGGGAGGAGGAAGCGACTTGGAAAAATTTACAAGATATTTGCAATCTATTTTCGAACGTTTTTCTTGAGGACAAAGACATTCTTGAAGGGGATGTGAATGATGCGAACGAGGGCCGACTCGTAAAAAATACGCACAATCGAGATCGACGCTCTCGTATCAAGGAATGAGACAACTATCCGCACGCGCGCAACCAACCACAAGCGCCCGAGGAAGGCTAGCCACCGCAACACACACTTGGGCGCAACAAGATTGTGCGCAGCAAGGTGAGGCGCAACAGCAGCACGCCCGCGTGCAGCAGGATGACGCGCAACAGTCGGGTTGCGCACAGCAAGATGTCCAACCAAACAACAACATAATTACATAAGCCGTGGGCACGACTTATCAACATGGATCAAATAGCAATATTTATGTTTATTAGCTTGCTTTTGCTAGGACCAATTAGCAATTTGTAATGTTTTTTTTCTTTATATCGTATCAAATGTTTGACTTGAGAATTATGCAATAAGAAAATCTAAAAAATGCTCACGCTCGAGCACAAATCCATCGTGCATAACTAGTTACCGTTAACACTAGTTATTCCAATCTCTATTTACGATACACGATCTTCGTCACAGGCAACTTAACACACAAAGAAACCGAACCACACAACGGCTCGGTTCTTTTGGTTTTGGCTGAGTTTTGGTTGCGCTTCGATGTCCCTCGTGGCTCCCTTATCTTGTTCCCTTTCGTGTTTCATCTATTACCGACTGCAATTGCTGAAGTAGATCCATATGATGGAAGAACATAAACGACAATGAAAAAGATTTGATCTTTCGGACGACAATCAAATTACCATCCAATCACATACGATTTCCATCGACATGGCCGGCGTTTCGGTGGCGGCGGAGTGGCAGCTCCTCTACAACCGATACTACCGGAAGCCGGAGCTCTACCAGATGCAGTGGAAGCAAGTGGATCTCACGCGCAACAAAATCGCCTGCGCACCATTCGGCGGCCCCATCGCCGTCATCCGAGACGATGCCAAGATCGTCCAGCTCTACGCTGAGTCCGCCCTCCGGAAGCTCCGCATCTTCACCTCCTCCGGTCGCCTCGTCTCGGAGACCGTCTGGAAGAACCCCGGCGGCCGTCTTATCGGTCTATCCTGGACGGACGACCTAACCCTAGTCTGCATCACACAGGATGGGACCGTCTATTCGTACAACGTCCACGCCGAGTTGGTTGGCACCTTCTCCCTGGGCAGAGAGTGCTTTGAGAACAGCGTCGTTGAGTGCGTATTTTGGGGGAACGGCGTGGTTTGTATTAACGAGGCTTTCGAAATTTTTGCTGTGCCGGATTTTAAGATCCCAAAGACGGTTAAATTGGCGGATTGCAATCTGGAGGAGCTTCCCCATTGTATGGCAGTGATTGAGCCCCAATACACCAAGTCGGGTGATGTGGAGGTGCTGCTAGGGGTTGGGGACCACGTGTTACTGGTCGAAGAAGATGGAGTGCAGCCTCTGGCGGCAGGGATTGGGCCGTTACAGAGGATGGTGGTCTCGAGGAAAGGGGAGTTTGTAGCCTCATTCACGCATGATGGGAGGCTTCTGGTCATGTCTACGGATTTCGCTGATGTTATAATTGAGTATGCCTGTGAGGTACGTTTACGGGTTATGATACTAATAGGAACGCCCATATTAGTTTTTCTGTTGGCCATACGAGCAATTAACTTCACTCTTGATACTTCATATGGTGGTAAATGTAGGTAACGGTGCAAAAACTGTAAGAGTGAGTGAGTTGGAAGTAGTGAGCCTGTTAGGAGGATGTTGCATTAGATTGAAATGATTCTGCAGAGGGTTTGTTTATGGTAATGCAGGAGAATAGGGGCGAGCCATAAATTTCCAATAATTTTCAGTTACCCTCTAAAGTGAATATGCTTGATATAATTATGCTAGTGTTTTAAGCAACGAATGCAGTGAGATGACATTGATTTCTGCATATCTTTGTTTGATTGAGCCTGTGAAAATGCGAACTATTTCTTGGGAAGTCTTTAATTATAACGAATTGGGTCTTTCAGTCTTTCCTGAACAGCTGTGCAAAGCATTGTTTCTTGTAACTGTAAAAAAATAATTAAAAAAAAAAATGAGTTGTAGAACTTTTATGCAATGGAATAATCACATGATGTGGAGTTTTGAAAATTTTATATACCCCTTGTTTTGAAGAGCTTCTTGAATATTCATGATTTTGAACCTATGTCCTTAACTTCTTATGTATGCACACAAGGACATAAGAAAAGATTTTATAAAACTATTTTCTTTGCACCAATAAGTCAATAACCTAGATGATGTTTCATTCCTTTCATAGTTGATCAGCGTATCATAAATCATCTGCCTTGTAGGAAATTAGCTATTGCGCAAGCAGAGTTAACATCGGCCATGTCTATCTTCATGTGGTTGTTGCATATGATACAATACTACACATTCTGAAATTGAACTTTTGAAAATCAGGGTGATGGAAGTTGTGCTTCCATAGCTAAAATTATCTCATTTCATTTCTTTTTTCTCATGCTCGTTTTTGGGCACTCCATGTTTCCTACTAGTTAGCCTAATGTGTTCTATTTTATGCATACAGTCGGCTCTTCCTCCTGATCAACTAGCTTGGTGCGGGCTGGACAGTGTCTTACTTTATTGGGATGACATGCTACTCATGGTGGGCCCTTATGGTGATCCTGTACGCTATATATATGACGAACCAATTATCCTTATCCCAGAATGTGATGGGGTGCGAGTACTTTCCAACACTAGCATGGAGTTCTTACATCGAGTTCCAGACTCTACTGTATCTATATTTCAGATTGGTAGTACCTTACCTTCTGCTTTACTATATGATGCCCTGGAGCATTTTGACAGGCGAAGTGCTAAGGTATCTATCTACTTCTCATTTTTTTCAAAAAATGATTTTCACATTATCTTATTATATATGTGACCATGATTTTCTTTCAGTTATTGGTCTTCACCCGCATTATTCTTTCTCTAACTTCTTATTGAATGTCCGTGGTCGATATTAGATTGACATGTTATGCTTCCTTCTGAATGGACCTTATCATAATTTGATTCTATTCCAAACATGTTTTGAGTTTTCTGATCAGTCATCAGAGACTATCATATTGAAATCTACTTATTGTTGATTGTAAGACTCAGATTAATGGTACGCACAAATCCAATAGATATGTGACACTTCTGTCAAAGTTTTATGATTGCTGAACGAAGATATGCTATGCCCATTGTTTCTTGTACCTCCTGTGTTTTTTCTGTGTGCCATTTGTTCATATTACTGTACAGATGCAACACGTGGGAGTGGGTCAGGAAAATTTGTGGCCCTATGTCTATCTTTCACAATTTGAACATAGCCTGTTGGATTATTTGTTTGTCCTTACATATTTAGAGCAATTTATCCTCTTAACAACATGCTTGCTTCAATTTGAAGAGAATCCACATTATATTAACAGCTGTCTCAGTGCCCTAAGAACCAGTATTAAAGTATACTAGTATTCTTTTACTCGTACACATGCACGAGCGAGGTCAATTTGATTACACTATGGATTAAATTGTCAATATATCTGGTTAAGGTTGAGTCTTCAATCAATAGTAAATTTCATATTAAACTAATACATTATAGTGGTGTATCACCTAATAAACATGACTCACAACAAATTGTAAAGTTCTTCATTTAAATATTAGTTTTATACATATCATTACTATATAACAATATTTTTAGTTGAAATTTTTCTTTTCAGATTATATTTTAATTAATTTTAATTTGTTTTTTGAGAATTTTCAAAAATACATTCAACCGAAGACATACGTGATATTTATATTTTTTCTTTTGATTTTGAAAGAATATAATGAAAAAAAGATGTCATTCAATAAAAATATTGACATGATATGTTGAGACAACAAAAAACTTGCATAAAATAGATAATGGATTCAACTAACGTTTGATCTAAAATATACAAACAAATTAATGAAAAAAAAATTATAAATATAAAAATAATTGTTAGTTTCATATGCCCACTATGAGCGTAAAATTAAAAAAACAATATGATTAATTTATTATTTGATAAAAAATAATAAAATGACCAATTAGTATTGAATAATGGTCTATTTATTGACCCTTTTCCTTTAATAAACATGTATATAGATATAGATTTTTATGGAGTATATATTCTCATTAACAATATATAGTTTGTATAAAGACTTGATGAAAGGCTCAATAGTTATCAAATTTTAAAAAAATAATATTTTTTAATATTATCAAATCATTAAGAACCCAATATTTGCAAACTTTGGCTTTACCTAGGGTCCGTATAGGTAGCTGGAACGTAGGGTCCCTAACGGGTAAACTACGTGAGCTAGTCGATGCAGCTACTAGGAGGCGTGTTAATATCCTATGCATCCAGGAAACAAAATGGAAGGGACAGAAGGCGAAGGAGGTGGAGGATACTGGCTTCAAGGTTTGGTTCACTGGGGCTTCATCGAGTAGGAATGGTGTAGGCATCTTGATCGATAGGAGCCTTAAGGATGGAGTTGTCGATGTTAGAAGGCAAGGCGACCGAATTATCCTAGTCCGATTGGTAGTTGGAGATTTGACCATGAATGTGATCAGTGCCTATGCCCCTCAGGTAGGTCTTACTGAGAGCGCAAAGAGGCAATTCTGTGAGGACCTGGATGCCTTGGTTATTACGATGCCTGCCAGAGGGGACCTAAACGACCATGTGGGTGCGACTAAGGTAGGTTTCGAGAGAGTGCACGGAGGGTTTGGGTATGGTAGTAGGGACGAAGAGGGGGAGGGTGTGTTGGACTTTGCGATGGCCTACGACTTGTTGATAGCGAACACCCTCTTTAGGAAGAGGGAATCTCATGTGGTGACCTTCCATAGTGGATGACACGCAAGTCAGATCGACTTTATCCTTGCAAGGAGGGAGGATAGGAGCGTAGATTGTAAGGTGATACCTGGGGAGTGTGTTGTCCCCCAACATAAGCTGATGGTGGCGGATTTTCGATTCCGAACACTTGTCCACCGGAACAAATGTGCCAAGACCGTGAGAACGAAGTGGTGGAAGCTTAAAGGGGAAGCGGCGCAGACGTTTAGGGATATGATGCTAGGTGAGGGGCCTTGGGAAGAAGGAGAAGATGCAGAGGACATGTGGCTAAAGATGGCAACATATGTACGGAAGGTGGCTGCAGAAGTCCTTGGTGTGAGTAGGGGAGGCAAGCAGGAAGCGAAGGACTCTTGGTGGTGGAATGACGAGGTGCAAAGGACTATTCAGGAGAAGAAGGAGTGTTTCAAGCGCCTCCACCTTGACAAGAGTGCAACCAACATTGAGAGCTATAAAATAGCGAGAAGGGATGCAAAGCGTGCCGTGAGTGTAGCGAAGGGTCAGGCCTATGATGACCTTTATCAGCGCTTAGGCACGAAGGAGGGGGAGAAGGACATTTATAGGATGGCTAAGATTCGGGAGAGGAAGACAAGAGACATCAACCAAATCAAATGCATTAAGGATGGGTCGGATCGGCCACTGGTGAAGGATGGGGAGATCAAGGACAGATGGCGAGAGTACTTCGACAAATTGTTTAATGGAGAGAGTGAGGGTCCTACCCTGGAGTTGGATGACTCATTTGAGGATACCAATAGATGCGTGGTGAGAAGAATTCGGGAGGTAGAGATCGGAGAGGCTATGAAGAGGATGAAGGGAGGTAAAGCAATGGGCCCTGATGGTATCCACATTGAGGTGTGGAGATGCTTGGGCGCTAGAGCGTTAGCATGGCTAACTAAACTTTTTAACCTCATTTTCCGGTCAAACAAGATGCCTGATGAATGGAGGAGAAGTACTTTAGTACCGATCTTCAAGAACAAGGGAGATGTTCAAAGCTGTGGTAACTACCGTGGGATTAAGTTGATGAGCCATACGATGAAGCTCTGGGAGAGGGTTATCGAGCATCGCCTACGACGAGTGACGAGTGTGACCCAAAACCAATTTGGGTTCATGCCTGGAAGGTCGACCATGGAGGCGATTTTCCTAATACGTCAGTTGACGGAGAGATATAGGGACCAAAAGAAGGACTTGCACATGGTCTTTATCGACCTAGAGAAGGCTTATAACAGAGTACCGAGAAACGTCATGTGGTGGGCCTTAGAAAAGCACAAAGTCCCATCTAAGTACATTACCCTCATCAAGGATATGTACAAGGATGCGATGACGTGTGCCCGAACATGTGGGGGCGACACCAGCGACTTCCCAATTAAAATAGGACTACACCAGGGGTCAGCATTGAGCCCTTATCTATTTGCCTTGGTGATGGATGAGGTCACAAGGGACATACAAGGTGATATCCCTTGGTGTATGCTCTTTGCTGATGATGTGGTGCTAGTTGACGAGAGTAGAGCAGGGGTAAATAGGAAGTTGGAGCTGTGGAAGGACGCGTTAAAGTCAAAAGGCTTCAGACTCAGTAGGACGAAGACCGAGTACATGACGTGCGCTTTCAGCATGGCTTCACATGATGATGGTGACGTTACCCTTGACGGGCAAGTGGTGGCCAAGAAGGAGACTTTTCGGTATTTGGGATCGATACTACAATAGGATGGCGGCATTGATGCTGATGTTAGGCATAGAATTGCAGCCGGTTGGTTGAAATGACGTCAGGCGTCGGGCGTTCTCTGTGATAAGAGGGTGCCACAAAGGCTAAAAGGTAAGTTCTATAAGACGGCGATTCGCCCGGCGATGCTATACGGTGCTGAATGTTGGCCTACAAAAAGGCAACATGTCCAACAACTAAGTGTAGCAGAGATGCGTATGTTGCGTTGGTTCTGTGGCACACAAGAAGGGATAGAATCCAGAATGAAGATATTCGAGATAGGGTCGGGGTGGACTCAATTGAGGAGAAATTGGTTCAACATCGGCTGAGGTGGTTCAGACATGTCTAACGGAGGCCTCCTGATGCACCGGTGCGGAGGGGAGTTCTACAGCGGGTCGAGGATGTTAAGAGAGGTAGAGGTCGGCCTAAACTCACTTGGGAAGAGTCGGTTAAGAGAGACCTTAAAGATTGGTATATCTCCAAGGATTTAGCGGTGGATAGGAGCGCTTGGAGGCTCGCTATCAACGTGCCAGAACCGTGACTTTTGCTCCTTTCTCTCTCTCTCGTTTTTTTTTTCGATCTCTTCCTTTTGGTTCGAGTCTTTTTGTGTTTCTCTTGGGTTTCATCTCTAGCCTACCCCGACTTGTTTGGGACTAAAGGCTATGTTGTTGTGTAATTTATAACAAATTTATGGTTATTTGAACATAGTTATAAGTATTTTCTCATTTCACCTATCCTATTAGAATTATAATGTTAGATTCTTTTCCCAAAGCTTTGATTTTCAATAGGACAGAAATTTTATGGAGCCAGTAGATGTTAATGTTTCCAATTAAAGTAATAATATTTGGCGGGAAAATGTTAGTTTTTGTTTATAGACTTCCTTTTTTTTAGTAATACATAGATATGTTGGGCAGTTTATATATTTAAAAATAAAAAAATAATAAGTGGACAAAAAACAAAAAAAAAAGGGGGGAGTGGACCAACATAGAAAGCACATATTTTGTAAATACGTTTTCTGTATAATTTAATTAAAAAACGTATTTAAGGAATACGTTTTTTACATTTTTTTTACAAAGGAAACCGTATTCACGGAATACGTTTTACAAATAAAAAAATCAAAAGCCGTATTCAGCAAATACGGGCTTTTGATTCTTGTCCACCCCCTTTTTTCTTTTTCTTTTTTTGTCCACCACTTGTCTTCTTTTTTTTTTCCCGTAAAAGAATCTAGATATGTTTTGGAATGATAAGGATGAGCTTTCTGACAAACTTCCCTTTTCCTATTAACTGTGGAGAATTTCTATTGGAAGAACTCGAATGCTAGGTTAGAGTCTAAGATTTTAGGATGGCCAGATTAAAACTGGAAGTAAACTTAATTGTATGAAATGTTTTCCAAATTATTTTAAAACTTGTTAATGGAATAAATAATGAACTCTCAAATTCTATATTTTGCCAGGCTGATGAAAATTTGAGATTGATTCGCTCTTCACTGCCTGAAGCTGTTGAGGCTTGCATTGATGCTGCTGGTTATGAATTTGACATTTCACAGCAGCGGACACTTCTGAGAGCTGCAAGCTATGGACACACCTTTTCTAGGTAAGGTTGAACCTCAAATTTGTTTCTAATTGAATGAATGTCACCTTGCGAGGGATGGAATATATGTTCTCTCATTTCTTTGTTGTTTTCAATTTATATTGAACATTATTATTCGTCATGGTTAAAAAGGATAACATAGTTTGTCATCTGAGAAACACAGGAGATCAACCATAAAATGCGAAGAGCACGTGAATGTCTGTGCAAAGATGCTAATGGTTCTATCTACACACGTCAAGTTATTGCTTGCCTATTCTGTCACTTATATGTCTCATGCTTAACTTATCAATGATGTAATCAATTTTATCTGTATGTTGCACAGAACTAAACAAATTGACAGAAACAAATAGCTACTTTTAGAAGCTAACATCATGACAGAAACGAATATAATCTTGAGTAGCAAACAATATTACATAACGAAACACCTCACTATGCTCCATTCTGAAGCAAACATCATGATTGGATTAAATACCTCATACCCAGCAGCAAAATGCTTCTGTTTCAGCATGGGATTGTGTTTCTAGAAATTTTCGACCAACTTCATTTTATTGCAATCTCCTGAACTTCTATTTTTTTATCAGCTTGATTGCTTTTGATCAAAACTTTGGCATACAATGTTTCATTCTTAAGTTTTTGATATAGAGTTTCTTTCTTTCTTCTAAAAGAAAATTATTTTCTGATTTTTTCTTGGTAATGATATCCAGTTTGGCTTTGGCAGCCATTTTCACCGTGACAGCCTACAAGAAATGTGTAAAACACTGCGTGTCCTCAATGCTGTACGCCATCCCGAGATTGGTATTCCTCTGAGCATTCAGCAGTATAAGGTATTATTTTTTTGGCTGCTTTATGTTTGAAGTTTTCTTTTAGCTCTCCTTTCATCTTGGTTCTATTATTTATGTTTTGATTATTTTTATCCATGTTATAAAAATTATGCAGTTGCTTACTCCCTCTGTTCTGATAAATCGTTTGATTAATGCACACAATCACCTCCTGGCCTTGCGGATATCGGAATATCTTTCTATGAGCCAAGTATGTCATTCTTCAGTCATTCTTCAGTTTAATGCTATTATTTGTTCTCCGTTTATCAGCAGCATATTATTTTGTTTTGCATGATGAATGCCTGCCTACAATGGTCCAAGAATAGCAGATAGGCCAATGTTTTAAGAAAATGTATTTTGACTGTGAAATATGAATGTGCACATTTATTACTTGGTTCAAAATTTTTAATAAATTTCGAGAGGACTTATAATGGATGCTCTATATTGACCTATTGTCCAATTTTTTGAATGGCATGTGATATCAGATGAGGTGTATTTTGTCCTCAGTATCTGTTTACTATATTTGATTTCTCCTTTCAGATTGGACATTGGTAATAATTATTTTATTTTATTTTATTTTATTTTTTTTTTTTTGGTGAAAATAGGACACACCTATAAGGATAATTTGGTTGATCATAATTGTTATTTCTATTGCTACTTCGATACTTCTCAATAATGAAACTTAAAGAAAGAACGTTGGTGATCAATTATACACTTTTCTGATGAAGTAATTGATAAAATTACTGCATCTTTTGCTGAAATGACTAATATGTTCTGCCTGATTAGGAAACTGTATTAATGCACTGGACTTGTACAAAGATTTCAGCTTCCGCGGCGGTTCCTGATGTTAGTCTTCTTGAAATCTTACTAGACAAGGTTAGTTTTTGTATATACTATATATTGTTTATTTTACTCAGTTATTTGCATAAAGCCCCTTAAATTTCCAACCTAAACATTTCTATCCTAATTAAACTTTATATCCCCTCTTTGTGTACATGCATCAGTGAGTTTGTCTGTACTGCTGGAATAGAGTCAAGTATTTACGAAAAGAACAAAACTCTAAGTATGTTTAATGAAATTGAAAAAGAAATAATTGTAACAGGAAGAAACTTCCTGACCAAGCCTAATTCCAACAATCTCTATTCCATAAAAGATACCCTTGGTAACAACCGGCAGTGTACTTAAATAGAGTCATAACCCTAACCATAACTCTAATTGTTTTTCTAATCCAGTGGGCCCAAAAGCCCAATTATTGAATTAACTAAAATAGCAAATTGATCTCTAACATGCTGCATGTGCTGCTGGAGATTCATCTGGATATTTTGTATCGTTACTCTCTGATTACCAAATGTTGGGGGTGCAGTTCCCTGTTCCTAGTCTCAATTATGTTTTAGTGGGGTTTGGTTTATTTTGGTTCCATAAAGAATGACTGGTGCGCTTGGTTGTCGCACTATTTCTGATCTTATATGCTTATTAATTTAAGATGCAAATATACATGTGGCCAAATGAGTCGGATTTTTTTATTCCTGTACTTCAAAAGTTGTGTTATTATTCCTTCCACGCAAGCACCCGCAAAATTAATCTGGTCTTCCTGATTTTTTCAGTTTGGAATTTGGATGATATCTGGGCCGATAAATACAGTTTAGTCATTACCATCTTTACATACTTGGCACGGTCAAAATATTTCAATCACACTGACTGCATCCTACCACGCAAACAGATCTAACACAGGTCTTTAATTTGCATTCCTTTGATAATCTTTGTTATGGAGTCTCAGCTGAAGGTATGCAAAGGAATATCCTATGCAGCCGTTGCTGCTCATGCTGATAAAAGTGGCCGTAGAAAGTTAGCTGCTATGCTAGTTGAACATGAACCGCGTTCCTCTAAACAGGTAGATTTCTGTTTTTACCTTCCATGCCTCGGGCATTTTCTGGCTATCATTTATTCTTCTTTATATGTCCGTGGAGTCTTAAATCACACTATACTTTGATCTTTCGGACCAGTGTATCATACTGAAGTACAAGTTTTACGCTTTTCATGAGCTTCTATACAATCAATCATTTTGCTTTGTCAGATTCCCCTCTTGCTAAGCATTGGAGAAGAAGATACTGCTCTCATCAAGGCTACTGAAAGTGGTGATACCGATCTCGTTTATCTCGTTATGTTTCATATGTGGCACAAGGTAAAGTTTATAATGAATGTTTGTAATTTTTATGTCTCAAGCATTTTTTTCAAAGAAATATGTTTTTGTATGATATCTCACCTGTGTCATGTAATATTGCAGAGAGTGCCGTTGGAGTTCTTTGCAACGATACAGGCCAAGCCTCTTGCACGTGATTTGTTCATAACTTATGCACGGTAAGGATGTTGCCCCTCCAATACTCCAAAGGTATAGTGCGAGGAAATTCTCCATTTACGATGTGGTATGTAGTTCTAAGTTTCTTGATCATGTTACAGATGTTATAAGCACGAGTTCTTGAAGGATTTCTTTCTGTCCTCCGGGCAAATTCAGGTAATTTATGTTTCACTAGTTCTGTAGATAGCATTGTCTTAGCCATCTACTGGATTGGGAAGTTAGCGTACTAGTTGATGGTGATATGTATTAATAATCATAAAAATGGCTCATACTAGATCGACTCGAATCCCAGGATAGAATCACCCCTTTACCCTGTGTTGTTTTGCATTGATTTTGTCCTAATCCCAGCTCTGGGGGGGCTGGAATAGACTATTGAGAATCATTTAAACAACAAATTCTTGCTCATTGCAAGTGTCCAGCTTAATTCTCTTTTTAGAAGAATGTTTTGAGTTATATCCTTGTAATTTTCTATGTGGACTTGCTTTTAATTTTGCATTCATCGGGCACTTTGAAATCTTGAATGCACCACCACCACCACCACCATCATCATCATCATCATCATCATCATCATCATCATCATCATCATCATCATCTTGCTTTTCTCCTTTTTATCTATATAAGGCCTATCATAATTATTTGTATTATTTTTTAGGATGTAGCTTTTCTCTTGTGGAAAGAGTCATGGGAACTGGCAAAGAATCCAATGGCAAGCAAAGGATCTCCTCTTCATGGCCCACGCATAAAACTAATTGAAAAGGCCCGTAATCTTTTTGCAGAAACGAAGGAACACATATTTGAGTCTAAGGCAGCTGAGGAACATGCAAAATTGTTAAGGTGATCTCTGCATTTGGTACTTATTATCCTGTGTATACCTGCATGAATTGTATAGCTCATCCAAGAACTTTCTCATTCCGCGTCGAAAGATATCTTTCTGTTACTGATCTGCATGTATCCTAACACTCACTGATGAATAGAAACCTCGTTCTTGCCCTAATGATTCAATTCCGAATGTAGGTTTGCTCTATCTGTCTAATGCAACTTACTGATGTGAACCGTGAGAGAATTTCTGACTTGTAATTGAACATTTGAGTCTACTTTAGATTTAGTTGTGCATTTGATTGGCGTAAAGGGATTAGAAATTGTTAAGAGGTTGATTTGCCGTTGCTTTAAATAGGTGGGCTTTAGGCCAGCATCTATTGCTCATTTACTTTCCTATAACATGAAATAAGCATTTGTTTCTCAAAGCTGCTTGCAGCTCACCCTCTAAAATCAATTGCAGAATTCAACATGAACTAGAGGTGACTACAAAGCAGGCTATTTTTGTGGATTCAAGTATCAGCGACACAATACGCACATGCATTGTCCTTGGAAATCATCGAGCAGCTAATAAAGTGAAAACTGAATTTAAGGTCTGAAAATTCCAGATGTTACACTTACAGCCACTAAAATTCCAGAGGTTATGCAAGTATTCTCTTGCATATCCAAAATCAGTTTTCTGACATGATCAACATGATTCAGGTTTCGGAAAAACGGTGGTATTGGCTTAAAGTTTTTGCACTCGCAACAATCAGAGACTGGGACGCACTCGAAAAATTTTCAAAAGAGAAGAGACCACCAATTGGTCAGTGTTCTATCTTGAGTTAAATAATTATGGATATACTGTTACCTTGGTGTTTATTGTTTTTTTCTTCTGTTTTCTCGCCACCAATTTGATCATTGAACCTGATCAATATATACACATCTATTACATGCATAATAGATACACTAGAATGCTTGGCTTGTGAAATTTTTTTAGTTTGAAACTATATTCAGGTTTTCACGTTTGAATTTGTATATTTGACTTTTCATTATCTTACCATGTATATTGTCATCTGCAGGCTACCGTCCATTCGTGGAGGCTTGTGTTGATGCTGGTGAGAAAGATGAAGCACTAAAATACATTCCAAAACTTGCTGATCCTCGAGAGAGAGCCGAGGTAACTTCACCTGTACAAGTGTCGATTTATTTAACTTGACAGTTTTGGATAGTTTCCTCACTTCTACTAGTGGAATGTGCACTATCTGCGAAAATAAGTTTCCTCACTTCTACTAGTGGAATCAGGCCTTTGCTAAAATTGGAATGGCTAAGGAAGCTGCCGATGCTGCTTCTCAAGCTAAGGATGGTGAGCTACTGGGGCGCTTGAAGCTAACCTTCGCACAAAATGCTGCAGCTTCATCAATTTTTGATACTCTGCGAGATCGTTTATCCTTCCAAGGTGTGTCTTAGGTCTTGTTTGCACATCTCATGATGGTTTGTATTTCAGCTAATGGACTGTTCTTGTGAATTTACCCTTTTTTTTGTTGTAAAACTGAATATTGAGTTTTTCTTGGGTGTTTTTGTTGATTTTAGCGTCGTCTAGTTATGCTGTATGATTGACTTGGACACCGGCATGCACGAGTATAGGGTGTATTTAACTACATGCATATTGTAACCATGCATTGTGGAAAACGAGTTTATCGAGGATAAAAATACTGGTTTTGAAAGACGGTTTCATCGTTGATCTAGTTGAAGTTGCTGTCATTTTGCACTATGATGCGCTGGATTTCGGTTCCTAAATTTAAAAATTGAGCCCAAATTTTGTGTTGTGATTGAAAATGCAATTGTAATCAGCATGTGTTCTTGTGGTGGTTCTGCCCGTTTGTTACTATTCCTGGAGAAACATGGTTATGCTAAGTAGTGACTTGCGCCCTCTCAAAATCGAGAAAATTACTTCCCTAATGAGCGCTTAATGTTTTTATTTAAAATTTACTGCTTTCTACTTTTATTACAAACTAGTACAGTTGCCCGTGCAAATGCACGAGAGCTACAAAGAAAAGTCATTAAACATTTGCAATTCATACAAATTCATAACGATTAAATATTATTGAACAATTTCTTATATACAATGTTCTTCGTCTTTGAGCTCTATTTATCATCACAAATTAATAATTTCAATCCTTTCACATTTGTAACTATAAAACACCGACATAAAGTTTTGAGCTGTTTTTATCATCACAAATTAATATTTTCTATCATTTCTCATTTGTAACTCGTGAAACAGCAACGTAAAGTTGGTCATGCGTAAATACAGAGTTCTTCAGGTATGACATTCATATAAATTAATCCTCAATAACTAAAATATATATTTTATTTTTTATATGCATAAGATATATAATTACCGATCAATAATAAGTCCTTACAAATGGAGCCTTTAGCCAAATCGGTAAAATTTTTGAAGTTATATATAAACTTCGGGAAATTTTTATTTGAAGTTTCACCATAAAATTTATCTTCAATCTTGCCATAGTAGTTTTATCAATTTTAGATAACGGTATTTCGATCTTGAAAGTAGTCATTTCATAATATCGCATCACACGGACTTTGACACTCCATTCTGTTTTTTATACCTTCTTTAGAAGTGTATAAACAATTGTTTGAATAAGATGTGAGAGAGATGTGAATGTGATGATACATAAATGAATAATCAATTGCGTATTTATAAACTACAACATATATATATATATATATATATATATATATATATATATATATATATATATATATATATATATATATATATATATATATATATATATATATATATATATATATATATATATATATATATATATATATATATATATATATATATATATATATATATATATATATATATATATATATATATATATATATATATATATATATATATATATATATATATATATATATATATATATATATATATATATATATATATATATATATATATATATATATATATATATATATATATATATATATATATATATATATATATATATATATCTTACTAAATGAAAAATGATTTGCATTATTCAAGCCACTAACAATGTAACCTACAAATGTGTGTTAACTTCTATCTGCCTTTAACTTTCAAACTGACTTTCATGCTTTTAGGGTGTAATTTTAACATCTAACATTTTCATGGTTTTAGGGTGTATTTTTAACATCTAACAAAACTTAAAACGTGTGTTAACTTCTAACACTTTCATGCTTTTAGGGTGCATTTTTAACATCTAACAAAACTTAAAACGTGTGTTAACTTCTATCTGACTTTAATTTCCAAACTAACTTCCATGGTTTTAGAGGTGTATTTTTAACTTCCAACTTAAAAACGTGTGTTAACTTCTAACACTTTCATGGTTTTAGGGTGTATTTTTAACATCTAACAAAACTTAAAGACGTGTGTTAACTTCTATCTGACTTTAATTTCCAAATTGACTTTCATGGTTTTAGGGGTGTATTTTTAACTTCCATATGTTAGACTGCTGTTAATACTTATATTTTTAAAAATAAAAATCTTATGATCGTATTTTATTTTGGATTTTGTTTAGTGTTGTTAAGTATGTTTGACTAATTTAGGTATTAAAAAATAAAATATTTTATGAACATAAATTTATAAGTCTAAAATAATTAACTGCCTACCATTTAACATTTAAATCATATTTTTATGTTATCGCGATATTACCAATAAATACAAAAGGTATTTACGAAATACTCTTTATATTATGTAATCTAATATTTATTACATATATTGCATATTGCATATATATATATGATATTATTTGCTTACTTGATTAATTTAATACTTTAACTTTACTTTCATGTTTTTTGGGGTGTATTTTTAACGTGTAACATAACTTACAAACCGTGTGATAACACGTGTAAAAGAATGTGAGAATTTTCCAAAAATAATAAGAGTGTGGTAGGACCCACATAAAACTTTCTAAAAATGGCAAGTGTGTTGCCTAATTATATAATAGATAGATGTTTAATTAATAATTAGTTTAATTAATAATTACTCTTATATTTAGTTCCCATCACAATCTCCTTTCTCTCTCTCTCTCTCACACTTTCAGCCTCCCTGTTCTTTCTTCTCTATCTATTTTTTCACTCCCAACCAATGATTTAAATACCGTACCGTACCGGCCGGTAATACCGGATACCGGTCATTGGTACGGTATAATAACACGCAAAATACCGGATTTACGGTTATACCGGATTTACGGTTATATCGGTTTGTACCGGGTTAATACCGTAAATACCGGTTCAAAATACCGGTCAATAAAAAAAAATAAAAATAAATAAAATTTATTAATTTAAAAACATAAAATTTAAATTGGTAGTTAAAATATTTTATTTTATCTCATTGAGAAGTTGAAATTAACGATTATGGTCATTTATTGTTTTACTTTTTTGCATTTGGTATTATATATTTTTATGTATATTTGTATTTATCATTATATTTGCTAGTCCGGTAATACCACCGATATTACCGGTCCGACCGATAATACCGCGTATCGGTGGCTAGACCGATATAGCCATCGGTACGGTATTTAAAACACTGCTCCCAACATCAAATATGGCGGTGGCTCAAATCCCACATGGGCGAGACAGAAGGCCAAGTATCACTCAATTTCTCATTTTTATTTTTTATTTTTTAAATTTTTTTTCTAGATTTTTCTCAAATCGCACACCACCCACCCCCATCACTCTGTCGACGGCCACTGAGACACGAATAGCGGCGGCGTAACTAGAGATTTGGGAGCAACGTGGTGATTGGACCGAGGAGCTCTATATAGCGGCACGACTACATATCCGATGACGACACTGTCGACGTACGACCATTGATGGAGGTGCGGTTCAACGTCGTCGGTCGACAACTACGGTGGCTTTAATCCAGTCTGATCAAGCCGTCGGCTTAAAAAGATCAATCCATTCTTCATTTACGAGATTTGTTTTTCTGGGGTGTAGGTTTGAATAAAAGATGTGATCTTTTTTTGTGTTTATTCAATTGATAGATGAGGGTGACGTTGGAGGGGTCCGCGGTTCTGACTCTTGTGTTGCCAACGGTTGTATCTTTTTTGTGTTTATTCAATTGATAGGGCATTTGATGTACATAATGCATTTTCAGTAGATCTTTTCTATATCTTATGTATATAATGACTAGATTGGTTTATCATCTTCTGTATGTCTTCTATATATAATGACTATATCGTATGTATACCTTCTGTANAGAAGGAATTACTAAATTGATTTATATTCTGTATATAATAGTGTTTTCAACCACTTCTCGGATGTTGTATGCGCGAATTACATAAAGTTCATACGCCCCTTTGACAACTCTTTGATGTTATTATCCAAGTCCCCAAACATCAATGGAGTTACAACTCAAATAATATATGACACAACTCACGATAATTACAATTTGTGGAACCAAAATACCTGATACCTGAAAATTTGTATACTGATTTTCTATAGGCACCAACAAATAAAGACTTACCATGCCAAGAATCCAATAACCGACGAGATTCATGCATTAATTAAAAAAATATAAATTACATCGTGAATAATTATACAACTGTGGTATATAAAAATATGTATTACATGGTAACAAAAATCATTATCCGAGTTTATATTTTGTATATTTTCTGTATATTTTGTTTTCTCCACCATCTCGTTGACAATCGTTCTCGTAAATGCCATAAAATTCATCTGAGGAAATGATAGTTCTTGTATTCTCTCATCAAGTTCACCGTACATCAGTGGAGCTATATTACAATGTGATTCATGTTCATTAGAATGTCGTGGATAATTACCAACAGAAGAAAAAAAAAAAAAAAATCAATTACCAACACAAAATAACACAACAAACATAAAAATAAAGAATTTCAAAACATATATCAAAACATATTGTATATATTTGCGTGTCTCACTTCTTCCGTGCATTCTTTTATCTTGCAAACGTATGTGAAAAATGTTCCGGCAGGTGGATAGGACTGACAAAATCACAGCAGCGATCATCTCTCTCAAAATTACGTACAATTGAATTCGAATTCTGATTCCCTATTTCGTATACCATAAAAAGGTTGTGTGTATAGTGTTTTGGTTGAGAAGGGCAATTTGTAAGAGACAAAATTTATAGATGTTCATTTCAAAAAAGAAAAAGAAGGGAAATAGTATGCTAAGACCATAATATAAATAATATGAGATAGTATGGAGAAAAAGTATTTCCAAATAGTTTTGTATATTTCAATAACACATTATTTTACTTGTTCTGCAACAAAACCCATAAGACTAATATGAACACTCTGCAACAAAACCCATAAGACAGACTAATATGAACACTCTGCAACAAAACCCATAAGACTAATATGAACACCCATACCAGCATGAAAAAAAAAAGAACTGGGAAGCGGAACTCGGGTAATTATTTGACTCTCAAATGTATGTTTTCATTAATATATGTGTAAAAATTTATATTTTATATATACTAAGTTTATGTGTTTATTAAATATGAGATTTGTTACCATGAAAATTTATATTTTATATATATATATATATATTTGATAGTAATTTACTCCAATATGGTGAAAATTTATATTATATATATATATATATATATATTTGATAGTAAATTTAATCCAACAAATGTGAGAGTATTTCTCAAATATTGTCAAAGATGTTCATACAAACACTCTATATAATATAATTAACCAAAATATTATAAGATAATATTATTACTAAATTTATATAAAATAACCTTATAAAAAAATGAAATGTAAAACAATTGATATAAAAATTAAAACACTAGTGTAAATAAAT